GATAAAATTGAAAAATAATTTTTATATAATTTTTTATTTTATTTTTTTATATAATTTAACGTATTATTTAAATAATTATTTTTTTAATTTATGTAAAATTTATAATATTAAATATATATATTTATTTAATAATATATAAAAATTATATTTAAAAAATATAAAAAAAACTATCCTATAACACCATCCGACAAAATTTTAATGTTAATAAATTTGCCTTTTTTTTTTGGTGGAAAAATAAATTTGCCTTGGGTGCAAGGTTTCGTCGAAATTTCTTTCGGAATTTCAGACACGGACATACGACGGTATCAAAGTTTGCTTAAACTTTCTGTGACTTGTGTCTAAAAACCAAAAACAATAATAAACAAAGAATAATTGAATTGTAGAAAAAAGCCTCAAGAAATTCTTCTCTTTGTCTTGTCTATCACTAATTCACACACGATTTACCCATTCGTATCGTGGCTTCAATAGACAGTTTATAAACTGCCGTCTCTGTCCCCAACCTGATAATCCCATGCGATATTTTTCGATTTTTTAAGTTCCTTCATTCATTCAAAGTTCAAAGTTTGGTTCTTTAGCGACTTGGGATAGGGGACGACCGGGCTCTTGTCTATTTTGGCTGTTTCATGGTGATTTGGAGCCAGACTAGGGTGAGTTATGGGTTTTCTGTGAGTTTCTTATTGTGGGTTTTTCGGCAATTTGGATTTGATGCATTGAGTTTTTCTGGGTTATGTTTGCTTGCTACCTGTTTGTAGTTTTGCGTTGATGAATTGAGTAAAGTTGAGGTTTTTTAGTTTTTCAGGGGAGAGTTGGGGTAGAATCTGAGATGGTATTTTAGTGATTTTGTGGAGATCTGGGTTGGTGAATTCCGTGGAGAGATATGGAGCCTCCAAAAGGAGTTTTGGCTTCATTGTGGCACTTCATCTGCTTTCTCCCTTACTTCCTTGGCCTCCTGCTTCTGGGCATAATCAAAGGTGCTGTTGTCAACGTGTTCCTTGTTTTGCTTCTGTTTGTTCTGTCATTTTTCTTTTTTTCCATTTTTGCTATATCTTCCCATATGGTTAAACAGCTTTGCCTTCTATATTTCGAGGACAGCTATGCTTTTTAATGTTATTTGATTGCATAATTATACTTTCATGTATTATTATTGCTTTTTGTTTCCTTTTTTAAAATTGAATTTTCACTTCTATCATTTTTCTTGTTAGTCTTTCTGTTTTTGTAGTCGGTTTCAAGGGCTTTAAAGTACAGCAAATTTGAAATTAGTGGTCATCTAATTTTACGGTTAATATAAATAATAATTTAAACCCCCTTGTTCATTGTTCATTGGATTAAATGAAACTGCTAACCTCTAATTTCAAACCCCTAAGTTAAACAGCCCATCATACTTAGTTCCTCTTTCTATAAATAAATTTCAAATTCCTAGTTTTTGCAAAAATTTACTATCTGGGCATTCGTTAAGGGCGGCTCCTGTGCTTGGTATACGAAAATTCATGGCCAACAGTGGTGTTTGTGAAAATACAATGGCATTTGATATTAAAATTGTATGCAGCAGTCTGCAATTATAAAACTATTAACAATCATATTGAGTTCTCAAATATTTGTAAATTTTATTTTATGATTTCAGGAATCATTTTCTGCCCATTGGTATGCCTTATCGTGACAGTTGGGAACTCTGCACTCATATTGGGTCTTTTGCCTGTACATGGTTTCTGCACTTACAACTCGGTTGTGAGGTGCTTTCCTTGACCCTTCTCTCTTTTAATTTTTTGGTTCATTGTTCTGCTGTTGTGATCTGGTTCTCTTTTTGTTAATATCTTTTGCAGAGCGAAACAATTGGGGCCACTTCTGAAGCTTGTTGTCTGCATATGCATCCCAGTTTTATTGATATTATGGACTGTGTTTAGCATTGTTGGAAGTATCATAGGGGGGACACTGTATGGCTTTCTTTCACCAATATTTGCCACTTTTGATGCTGTAGGAGAAGGAAAGACTGATGTGACTTTCCACTGTTTTTATGTATGTCTTAAAAATCCAAGTTCTATTCTCGTAAAAGATAACTTTTAAAAATTTTTATGTATATTTAGTTGTTTTATTATCTGTCTTACCATAAGAGATATTCATATCACCATGTTTCCAGGATGGAACTTCGAGCACTATTAAGCGCAGCTTTACTGTCGTCAGGGATTTCAAAGATGTTTGTTACCACTCCTACTTGTCAGTTTTGGAAGAACTGCAAAAGCAAGAACTACCACATGGAAAACGCTATGAGATCAGGTATACATACCTCTTTTTTTTGGCCTTCTACATGTTCTTTCTGCTTTCTAGGCAGTCTTAATCTTAATTCTTAAATAATTGCCAGCAACATGTTACCTGTATGATGAATGTTATCATCTATAAATTTCTCAAATTTATTTAAAAGTTTAGACTCCTGAAAGCAGAGATGCCTACACTGAGAAGAGTTTGACTAGTTTGCATTTGGTTAAATGATTCATGAGGTTTGCCCTGCAAGTATTGCAGTTAAGACTTCATGGTTATTTCTGTCAAAGATGAAAACCTTTTTGTTTTTTGTTTTGACTGAGTTTCTACAACTTTTTCCAGACTGCTTTTGCTTCCTGGCGCTATTATAGCTGCATTGCTTGGCTTCATCATTGATTTTCCTGTGATTTCACTTGTTGCCCTGTGCAAAAGTCCTTACATGCTCTTTAAGGGGTGGCATCGTTTATTTCATGACCTTATAGGCCGAGAAGGACCTTTCCTGGAGACAATATGTGTACCATTAGCTGGTCTTGCAATTCTTCTCTGGCCATTAGCTGTTGTTGGGGCAGTGCTAGGCTCCATGGTAGCAAGTATCTTCCTTGGTGCCTTTGCAGGGGTGATTTATTATCAGGTTAAGATCTTATAGCTTCATCATTGCCTTATCAAAGACACTGTTTTTGGGGGCAGTGTAATATCAAACATCAATGAAACTTTCATCTTTCCTTTATTTTGGAAGACTTTTGATTCCATTGTGTGGGGTTTGAATTACAGGAGTCCTCATTTTGGTTTGGTCTTTGTTATATCGTAGCATCCTTGGCTATTTATGATGAATACAGCAATGACATCCTTGACATGCAAGAAGGGTCTTGCTTTCCGAGGTTTTATTCATCACTTTGCTAATTTGGCTGTAATACATGCTCTTTGATTGATTCTTACACATTTTTCATATAATAGGCCTCAGTATCGAAGCTCACAGCCACCCACCTCTCAAACAAACTTCTCAAGGCCCAGCTCTTTCAAAAACCCTCCCACTCGCACAACTTCATTTTCAAATCCAATGGTTGATTTGAAGCCACTAGAGGTTAGCTTCATTTGAAATGAATTTTACATGTGCTCGCATAATTTAAATATATGTCTTTTAGCTTACAAGTATGGTGATAAATGAACACTATCTCTTATTTTTGGTACTGTAGCTACTTCACAGATTATTTAAGGAGTGTCAATGCGTTGGAGAAATTATGGTTTCCGAAGGACTTATAACTCCTAAAGATATTGAAGATGCTAAGTCTACAAAAGGTGCCAAAGTGGTTAGCATAGGCTTACCAGCTTATTGCCTTCTTCAATGTCTTTTGCACTCTGCACAAGCCAACTCAGCTGGCATATTGTTGGGTGAGAGAACAATGCCTTATGTTGTTTTTCCTCATAATTCTTTTTATGAACTTAAAACAGTTTCAGCAGCATCTATGAAACTGTTTTTGTGCAGGTGATAATATTGAGATAACCCTTACAAATAGACCAAAAGATACCATCTTTGATTGGTTTCTTAGCCCCTTTCTGATCATGAAGGATCAAATTAAAGCAGAAAACCTCTCTGAGGCTGAAGAGGAGTATCTTGGTAAATTAGTTCTGTTGTGTGGTGATCCTGCAAGGTTGAAGAATCCGAATATTGGTGCAACACCTGAAACTGAGCGCAAGAGAGCTGAACTTGATGCATTAGCCCGAAGGTGAAAACACAATCGGTTCAACATTTTCTTTCTAGTTTCTCTACTTTGTGCTTGTTTTTACTGAAAACCTCACTTACATTGTATTGTCATTACCTGAAGGCTACAAGGATTAACCAAATCTATCTCGAGGTATCCCACTTTCCAGCGTCATTTTGAGGATCTTGTCAGGACTCTGTCAGATAATCTTGCCAAGAAGAATGATGAAAGCAGATCAAGCAACGGGAGTAAAACCATGCAACGATCCAAGAGTGCCTTTGTACGATTGTTTAGCCAGAAATCTTTCAAAGGGAAAACAAATAACAACAACGGATCTGATCAGGAATCACAATCAGTTACAGGTAGGGATGTGGAAATTGTATGATCAAGAGTGTTGATTTTATGAGCACATTGACTTGTTAGCCTCTTTGATTTTGAATGCTTGTTGCCTACACCAAAGAAGACAAATAATGCAATTGAATTAACATGTACCTTGTAGGTATATAGGATATATGTCTTCTTGTAATGAAATTGATTTGTAAAATGCTGCTGTTGTTTTCTTCATTTTTTCTTCAGACATTTTCTCTTCCAAATGTAAAGAATGATTACTATAAATTTTTTTTTTAAAAAAAAAAAAAGAGGAAAAACCTCAGCCTTCATGGTTTAACAATTATATTCAGTTGTAATCTTAAATTCTTATTATATTGACATTTCAATATTTTTGAGAAATGTAATTGTTAACTTTTTCTTCTAATCCCAATTCCCAACAATGTATATTTACAAAATTTGATATTTTCCAGCTTCCAATGAAACTTGAATTCTCATTATTTTCAATCTATAAGATAACAGATGAAAAGGACTCATTATATTTGTGTTCCTTTTACTAAAGGTACACAAGAATTAGTAGTGAGTTTATAGAAACACACAATTTTTGTTCATTTGTATTTTGTGAGATGTAATTGATGAAGCTTATTAACCAACATATTATTTATGTGACCATCATACTATTAATATATTAGTAGTAATCCCATTAAAAAAAATGGAATTACTAGTTTATGAACAATATTCATGTATGAAATGCTTGTATCTCAGCATATTAAATAATATTAAAATATTGGAGGAAACTAATAACTTATTTTTAGATTTTTGAGGTGTCCATATCATTGTCAAAAATTTGATCTCGTTTTTTTGGTTGTGTATTAGAGTTCAATCAATATCTACTTGACACTCAAATTGGGACCACCGGCTTTATCTTTTGTAAATGTTCTATAACTATTTGTCTCTTCTTCCTTATCTTTTTTGGCTTTTATACTACTATTTGACATATAAGTGTACAATTTTGCAAAGATTTTGTAGCTGCCTATCAATATTTCTAAAATCTTCAACTGTTCTATAGCTATTTGTCTCTTCTTCCTCTCTTTTTTTTTCTTCGCTTTTATACTACTATTTGACATCTAATTATACCATTTTGCAAAGATTTTATACTGCCTATCAATATTTCTAAAATCTCCATAAGCTAATTTAGTACATACAAATATTATCTTTTATTAAGAGTCTGTTTGGTATAACAATTTGGAGATTATGGTTAGAGGTTTTATCTAAATTATTAAAGATAGAGATTTAGTAAATTTATTTATTTCAAAACCAATATAAACTAACTGTTTGGTGGAATTTTTTATTTAGGAATTTGAAATTTGTGGATAACAGTTATAGTTCAAATTGTTAACAGATTGAAAAAGTTATCTATTAAAAAAAATTTAATTTTATTAACAAATTTATCATTTTTATGTTTTTAATTTTTTTTCTCTAATTTTTAACTAGTACTTATCTAATTAGTTCAACTTTATTT